CCAGTGAATATCTGTCAAAGTGACTAACCAGTACAGTGAATTTCCAGGAAATATTCAGGAGAGAGTATGTGTATGTGACAGACCAGCACAGTGAATATGTAGTAAAGCACTTCAGTAAACTGTAAGGGACTACAATTCCACTGAATAAACAGCAAACACAAAATAACTTAATCAAGGAAAAAATAGTTTACCAACTAGATAGTACAGTTCCCATCCAAGAAAAGGGCTCCATGTCGTTTCTCTGCCTGTTTGTACAGAATATTGAGTCAGGAGCTCCAGCAGGAGTTTCTGACCCTCTGCTCTGCGAGCTCCACACTTCTGTCCTGTGAATCACACACAGAGCTGCAGCAGGGATGAGTGAGAGGTACCTGCATGGGAACAACACTGAGCTCTTCCCCCCAGTGTCCCCCCGCGCCACAGCGTCTCCCTGCCCCACAGTCCCTGACAGCCCCTACAGCCCCCAGTGTCTCCCTGCCCCACAGTCCCTGACAGCCTCTGATTTAAACAGCTCACCTCACCTGTCCCTCCTCTCTAATCACACTCCTGCTTCTGGGCTCAGCAGTCTTTTCAGGAGCCCACCTACAACTGAAAAACAGGGATTTATCTGTACAGTGATTAACAGACAGCGCTCTGAATACACCATGTAGTGATGATTACAGTGAACACCCAGTGCAGCAATGATTATAGTAATTATTAATACCCAGTACAGTGATGACTACAGTGAACACCCAGTACAGTGATGGTTAATACTCAGTGCAGTGATGACTACAGTGAATACCCAGTAAATTGACTATCCTGAAAACACAGTGATCATCCCTCAATGACAACAGTTCAGTGATGATTAATACTCATTGCAGTGATGACTACAGTGAACACCCAGTACAGTGATGATTAATACTCAGTGATTATTACAGTGAATACCCAGTAAATTGACTACACTGAAAACCCAGTACAGTGATCGTCCCTCAATGATCACAGTCCAGTGAATATTAAATACCCAGTCCAGTGTCTGTCCATCACAGAGAATAAGCAGCCCAGTGAACAGCCAGTGATCTTCTATTACAGGGAACACTGGGCCAGTCGGAGCTGTGCTGCCCCCTGCAGAAGACCTGTCCTGAGGTCAGAGTCACCGGTGGTCTCGCCCTGTCCTCTCTGGGGTCCT